TAAATATAATTGAAACGTAAGGTACTTTTGTAGTTTTGTTTTAGAAGTTATTAACTATATATCTTTTTTAAGTGAGACATCACGATTGGAATTTAGACTCTATTAGAATTTTATCTTCAGATAAGATATCAAATTCTCTTTCTCTTTCCGAAAAGAAATGAGATACATTTCGATTCCTAATATACTTTTTACGCTATTAATGTTCTTAAAGCGATAAACGTGATTTGCGATAAGCGATTCAGCTATCTGGACAACCGAAAGGCTGATATTGATTAGCTTTCGTCAATCGATGAATCAAAATCTCACAGTCAATGTGAATCCGCGATGGATAGCACTTGTATAAGATTCTAGACTGATCAACCGTGAGATTTCGGACTCGCGGACGTGCACATCACGAGAATAATCGATGCCCTCGCTTGTGGACCCCTGCGGTTCGCGATAATTGGATCTGTCGTTATTCATTCGTTTCCTCACTGCACGCGCGTGCAACACCGTCAATGAATATTTCAGAGATAACGATTAAAAGCGGCAGGAGAATCTCTTTCGATTGAAACAATCAACTACAAGGAATTTTTCACGAATATTTTTTTTTCCTAAAATATGTCTTTGAATTTTCAATGTAAAAATTTCGTGCCAGCTTCGCACAGACCCAAGTTTTTGGACTTGAAAAAACTCTTGCGATATAGGAACATACAAAGATATTCTCACATGCTTGTCACGTGCCAGTCGAGCGGAAATTTTCCAAGGCGCATTGCTTCGCCTAATTTCTCGCGCTGCGCGTTTTCATTATTGCATTACTCAGAGCGCAATGGCTGACGTCAACGACCTTCGATGATTGTATCTCTCTTCGAACGGTTTTGAAATCTCGCATGATGTTCTTGCGGAAAAAAAAAACCTCATTGATTTTAGAGCATTGTGCTCCACTGAACAGAACGTGCCGCTAAATTTTATTTTATCGTTATTTGCTTGAGCAAAGAGACTGAACGCAGTGTCTCGCGCTTATAGCAAGATCTGTGTGAATTATTTTATGTATAATGCTCTAGTTGACGTTGGTTCTCGTTCATTCTCGACTGTTGATCAGTCTGGAATATGACAGCGGCGGATTTCAACGCGCGAGGTTGTCAGCCACCGTCGAGGAAACGCGTCCTTACGGCATCGCCGTTATTGAAGCCCATCAAATGTATTGAAAGGCGACCGTCGCCTTTAAGGAAGTCGCCTGCTTTGTCATAGTGATTAAGCGTACGATCCGATTGTGCGTATAGGCATTCAAAATAATATAATGATCGAGAGAAATTCCTCTCAGTCATTAAATCCAAGAGTTACTCTTTCACAGCCGGTGCGACATTTTCTTATTATCGAAACAATTTATAAGCATGAGAAAGATCACGAAAATTAAAGGGTCTTGAACTTAATTACATCTTTCGCAAAAATGCACTCTTTTCGCGTTTCAAAAGTCTCGAAATTATTAATGGTCCGCAAATTTGTAGCGACGCGTCGCAATTCCGAAAAAGGACGTTGATTTCGAGCGGAAAGCCACACACGTTCGAGTAATCGAGACGGAGATCCTTGCCCGGGGCACAGACCAAGATCCTTCTTCGTTCACGAAGGTCCATGACGCGCATGACTCAACCTTATTATTATTGTTAGTCTTGCACACATCGACATACGCGTGCGAAAATGCGTATGCCTCTGGCTGCTTACACTCGCGCGCGCGAGGAGTGCGTATGAGTCTCGACTAGGAAGCGCGAATCACGACAGCTAACATGCTATTCGCGGTGAACTCAACATTCCCACTTCGTCAGGGACATTTGAGTGGTTATTTTCAACACTTTGCTTAGCGCAGAGTATAAGTTCGCATCACACATAGACTGTGCGTCGGAGAAATTAAGATTGCATGTGGCGGATGTATGCTGGAAATTGAGATTGATGAGAAGAGAGTTCCGTTAGATCCTAATTTGTAACATGGGTTTGATCTTCCGTATATACTATAATATTAATTTTAAAAGGAAAAAAAAAAGTTCTACAAAGCTATATTCAATAATTCGCGCTGTGAGCAAATTAATTAATTCTGATTAGATAATTGCTTCAATAAAAAAATAGCCTTAAAATAATGCGGTGCAATTTAAGTTTTTGAAGTGATCGTAATTCTTCTAATTTGATGATTTCGGAACAAGAATTTCAAATTTTGTCATATTTGCAAAATTTTTACATATTAATTGTCATAATTATTAATTAATTATTTCAATTTTTTTAAATTTAATAAGAGATATATTTTTCGATAGAACGAAAACGCTGTGGTTCTCGGCGGGTCATAATTGCATCATTAAAACATATACACACTCGTTATCGCGAACACACTCTGTAATTCAAGATGTTATCTCGCGTAACGTCGCGCATTCGTGACGAACGCATCATTCACGAGGGATTTCTTCCTCGAAGGATACAAGTCCGCGATGCGACATCGAGCGACGCATTCCGTTGGTCCATAGCACACGTGATAGCGTCTATTATCGCGCAAATTCGAGGACAATGTGATTTAAAATTTTCCACGCTGTTGCCTATCGGTCCGACTAATCTCTGTACAGTGATTTCCCTAGTTATCGCGACATACTCTTTTCCACAATCGCGAAAATCATGCGTCACAATTCGCGTGAATGTTGACGGGTGAGTCGAATTCTTTTAATTATCGAGATTAATGTTTGTTACATAAACTGCGACAAATTTGTTATTGAAACATAAGATATTAGAAATAGTATCTCTTTGATGTCAATATTTCTGCAACTGTTTATTCAAGCAGCTCTACCTCGGAAATTATTCGGAATGGGACCGAACCTTTTTTTAGAATAATCTATGCTGTGACCTCCCAAAGTATCGATTTTTCTCGTTTCGGGACATTCTGTATATATAATTTATGTATATAATAATTGATATATAATAAAAACTTCATATAATTTTCTATCCTACGTTCGCGAAACTCTCTGGATCTCGTAGGCCGACCTCGAGAGTTTTTACAGTCGTCATTGCGCCTTCAAGGCGCTTGGTCCTCGGCCCTGGACCGACGTTTTACCTCTAGACTATTCTATAGCGCGAGAGAGAAAGATACAGCGAGCTAGTCCGATAGCGGAAAAGAGACAGAGAGTAATAAGATATTCTGTCTGCTAAAGAAGCACGCATATGAAATCGTGGCCAATTATTGTGCACGGTCACGCGATTCAAAATCCGTATCCACGAATCTTAATCGCGTATTTGCTCGCATATTTCTTATCGACGCCGTTTGGAAAAAAAAAAAAAAAAAAGGTCTCCGCGTGTTTTCTGCCGAGAGGCCTCCGTTTTGTAGTCCGATCGCGGCATCGTATGATAAAATGTTTCCGCCGCAGATGTTTCCGAGATACTTTCCCGTGATACGCGACCAATTCCTTGCGCTACACCGCGAGCTGTTTTCCGTAAAATGTAAAATTGCCGTACGAAGGCAACCGTCGAGTCGCCGTGAATGCCGTGATATTTGCGGGCCCGTTTGCATTAGCGAAATTTCCGCGCCTGTCGAGAATCGCAGCTGAGGTTCTGCTTTGCTCTAGGAGTGCATTAACCTCTGTCGGATCGCGAGAACACACTGCGAGGAGAAGTGAACAACGTCACGGGCGCGGGATGGGTCGGCGGGGAGGGGGGAGGGGGGCGACAAGAAGAAGATGGAAGTAGCAGGCGAAGGAAACGAAGGGGACTTGCAACAGCGTGCATCACAGTTCTTCATCGTCGAAGCGAGTGTGATGGCGAGGCGCTTTTACAGAGAGCTAGAGACGTGAGAGAGGAGATTGCAAACCATGGTGAACAAGGGGAGGGGAGGGGGATGACGACGGGGCGGTTGGACTTTCTCCGGAAAGCGAAAGTGAAAGGGCCCTCCCGAGAACGCGCGTTCGTTCCCCTTGCGATCTAGGGGGGAGGGAGGGGGGGGGGTTTCGTGCTTTCACCATGTCCCGACAAGATGCATTTTTCCGCGATACGAAGGAGGCACGCACGCGCGCGGTTTTGCGAACGGAAAAATTATGATTTTAGAGCAATTAGTAGAGCAACGGCCGCGAGCGATGAGGAAACACAGTCTCGTGTGAGAGAGAAAATCGTGTTGAATACAGGGATGCGCTGTTCCTTCTATCGCCGCGGCGGGGAGGAAGGCGGGAACACGGTAGGAAAATTAATGGTGTTGTCGGCTGCACGAGTTGCAATTATAAAAGAATAGCGTTCACTAGGTGTGCACTACGTGTCATTTCGACCCCATTCTTGGCGATAATGTGCAATCCTCGTGTAAACATGCAGAAATCTTAAACACACACGATATTAGTGTTTTTATATAAATTTGTTGATATTGGAGCTTCATAAGTGTAATCCTCAAGTTGAGATTCTATCAAAAGCCACTTAAAATTAGACGAGGAATAAAATTTTCTTCTTTCGTATCGTAGAATTTGTAAGAATTCTTAGATTTCTGTAACTGCATATAATTCGAAAAATATTGCGCCCTCGATATTTTTGCTATGAATAGATTAATTTCATGTAATTAAAACATGAACGAAAGAAAATATGAGATACAGCTTTAATATTTATATGTTAATATCGACCATGAAAGAACTAGTATTTTTTTTCAGGTTGACCTTTAACATCTGCATTCAAGAGAAAGTGCGCCATGTCTATAAAACAAGCTGCGCATTTATTATAAAATCTATATATATCTTAATATTACACGAAATACACGTTTGGCATATGCAACATATGCATATTTTGTTTAGAAAAGCAAATTCATTCATTATATGCTGTCACCACGACATCTACTGCATATCAATTTTAAATAATTTTTTTCTTAGTAAACAACTTATAATTATTCTTGTAAAATATAAAACTCGAGAAACCCAGATACTCATAAATACCATAAAAAATCTTTAACTTTGTTTATGATCAAATAAAACTATGATTTAATTATGAACTATAATAAAATAAAATTGTACCATTTTCAGGGAGACATCAACCCGCGGCGGCGCGGCATTCAGTATTGTAATCAACATCGAAACTTTATAATTCCGGACAAATATGCATTGAGTTTCGTTCGACGGAGGGAAAGAAAGAAATATTTGCAAAGTGGCGACAAATCTTAGAAGGGAAACCCCAGTCGCGGAGCTTAGTCAGAGTGGAACGGCGCGACATCGGATAATCGTGAATTAACTTTCTTCGCCGCCTTCTTCGTTCAGTGCTTCATGTGCCGCAGATTACATCCATCGATTTTTACCCACAGACCAGGTTGGTGATATAAATTAATCTCTTGTTTTTTTGCTTTCTCGCCGAAGCATCGCGAGAAAGTCTTAACGATCTCTAGGTTTCGAGTTCCCATATAATTTCAAGAGCGCTTTGATGTAACTAGATAATTACGTAGCGTAATCATTTATAGCTACCGCTAAAAATTAATTATACCACGTAATGTCGACGGGAAAGAAGCACCAATTTCATTGCGTACTTTTGAAGAATTGTTATCATTTTTTACCAAAAATATTTATTATACAAACACTGGAGGAAAAAATGGATTAAAAAATTAATTACTTGAGCGAAAATTCTGTTTACGTAGATCACAGTTTGCACAGATACAGAATTATGTAGCCCAGATCGCGCTCAATTTCGTATTATGTGTTTTCATCGTACTTGATTAATGTATTTCTATCGAGCAGATTGGATTTCTTTATCAAATATTAGAAAATTTTAATCTGTTCTACTTGGTTCTCTGATCTGAAAATTGGAAAATATTTATGACACAACGCGTATAAAACTCTATTTTCATCAAAGGAATATATAAACAATAAGAATAATATATACTTGATTATACAATATTACATATATCTGGTATCGTGTATTGAGCGATCCTTATGGCAATAGTACACGTGAATCACGCATAGTCAATTGATTTTGACGATTATAGCGATCTGTTCTCCCCTTAGTAGCATTTGTGGCACGTGTCTTTCCAAGATCTCCGACTTCCCTTTAACCATCTTCACTACCGCCTTAGGGAGATCATCTGCCGCTACCTTGACCGCACCGGTACCTGAATCGAAAATGCAACATCAATTTCTTATATCTTTTCCGATATTCGATTTCAAAGTCGAATAATTTTGAATAATTTATATGCTTCTTTTTGAGAGAGATATATATTACAGAGTTCCTGATAAATAAAAAAGATATTGAATAAATTGTTATTGATTGTGATAAGACAAAACATTTTTTCAAGTATCGAAGAAAATTATTTTTAATTTTCTAATAGATCTCTAGTTCTGGCAGTAATTCTGGATAATATTGTTAAAATTATGAAGATTGTAATTATGGATCAAAGCGATTTGATCAGTCGATTGATATTTAAAAAAATATTTTAGTTTAAAAAATTTTGCAGCGAAATTATTTAGAGTCGAATATTTTTTTAATTGATCAAATCAGTTTGATCCATAATAACAATCTTCAACTTATAAAATACTATTCAGAACTGCTGCCAGAATTATGGAACTGTCAAAAATAATTTTTATAGATACTTGAACATGTATTTTGTTTCATTATAATCAATAACAATTTCAATACCAAAAATACTTTTTTATTTATCACAGAAACTCTAGCATAAAAATAGATTTATAATTATGAATCTTTAAAAACAATAACTTATTACTATTTTTAGAACAGATTATAAAATCTCTGAAATCAATGTTTTAAATCATGTTTGAAACATACAATATCAAAATCTTGAAATAACTTTTTTATTCAATTTTTAATCACGAACTACATTTTTCTCTTTATATTATTAATGTTATATCCAACTTTCTTAGAATTCGAAATCTTTCATCATAATGACAAACTTCTAGATATATTGCAATCAAATCTCGATAGAACGCTCGAATATCTGAATATGACGTCGCATTAACCGAAAGTTATCGAAAATATATTTTGACGTGGTGAATAAACCTCAGAAAAAAAATGTCGCTAGGGTCACGAAGAAAGTCTGGGAAGGTTGTTTATACGCCAACACGTGCCCGTAACAAGCGTGCAAATCACAAGTAGGAAGGAGAGAGGAGGTAGTGAAAACGGAAGGGCCACAAGGTCGAAAGGGAGATGGTAGGCACGAGGAGCCAACAGGACACGTGTACACAGACATCGATCCTGTGGGTTGTTCTTCAAGGTTACCGGTCCCTCCACCCTCTCTCCAGCCCTCGTATCAACGACCTCGCGACCCCTCGCGATACGTCCCGAAGTACGTCAGTAGGTCAACTAACCCTGAACTCGGCGCGTCGAAAGAGAGAGAGAGAGAGAGAGAGAGAGAGAGAGAGAGAGAGAGAGAGAGAGAGAGAGAGAGAGAGAGAGAGAGAGAGAGAGAGAGAGAGAGAGAGAGAGAGAGAGAGAAAGAAAGAAAAAGCGTGCCAGATCGTCACTTTTTAGATCATTATAAATGACGGAGAAAATTCCCTAATCCTACGCATTTCCTCGCGTTGCCTTGGAATTGCCATCGTAGAGCTGCTTTAATTCGTTTACTTTGTAAAAAGGTAAATTAATCCCTTATATATCACGTATGCGGAAAAATTCTGAGGATTTCTGGAATTTAATGAAATGTATGGTATCCGTATAAATTTTTCGAAAGTAACATTTATCTTACAGTTATATTTTTGCTCAATTGGTTTTATGTCGAGAGAAACTACCCGCATCATTTGATATGCGTAATTGAAGAGAGAAATTAATTGCAGATATTAATTTTGTTCGCCTATTTCGGTTCGAAGCCGGCGAAACAGTTGTCGATTGATCACGCTAATTAATTACACGCATTACAAATCTTTTATGCGCGAGACTGATAATGACGCACACGTATTCGAATTGAAACACGTGTATCGAATTCACGAAGACGTGTTTCTTTCGTAAGTGCAGGCACGCGATCGGCCGATCGAACTGCGGACGATTCCATCGATTTCTCCTAACCAGAAATAAGTGTCGACGATTTCAGAATGAGTTATATAGAAACAAAATGCACACTTAGATCGCGTGTTTGATACGATTGGCGCGTATGAATGAAAACGAGGCGCAGAGGTTGGTGAGCGAGGGAGGAGAGGAAGTAAGTTAAAAGTAACGTGGCGAAGGAAAATTATTGTCAGTGGAGATGGAGAGACACGGGGCATAAAGGATACGTCTTGCGCGCGGTGCGAGGGATGACGGTGTGCGAGAGAGAGAGAGAGAGAGAGAGAGAGAGAGAGAGAGAGAGAGAGGAGGAGAGAGAGAGAGAGAGAGAGAGAGAGAGAGAGAGAGAGAGAGAGAGAGAGAGAGAGAGAGAGAGAGAGAGAGAGAGAGAGAGAGAGAGAGAGAGAGAGAGAGTAGAGAGAGTAGTAGTAGTAGAGAGAGAGAGAGAGAGAGAGAGAGTAGAGAGAGAGAGAGAGACGAGAGAGAGAGAGAGAGAGAGAGACGAGAGAGAGAGAGGTACGGAGGACGGAGGAGGACGGACGGACGGAACGGACGGACGGTAACGGACGGAACGGAACGGAACGGAACGGGTAAACCGGGTAACGGTAACCGGTAACGGTAACGGTAACGGTAACGGTAACGGTAAACGGTAAACGGTAACGGACGTACGACGTAACGACGTACGTACGACGACGTACGTCGTACGTACCGTCGTACGTCGTCTACTCGTCTCTCTCTCTCTCTCTCTCCTCGGGCCACACGGGCTCTCTTTCTCACTCTCTCTCCCTGTCCCTCTTTCTCTCTCTCTCTCTCCTCCTCAAACGCGTATCGAACGTGCGCGCGGCGACCACTATACGTGGTCAAGGTCGGTCCTTGCTCCTGCTGCAAAGCGGCGACCTTAGTGGGATGTATTATCTCTCTTTGCGCGCGCGATACGACGACCCTTCCTCTCCGCTTTCCACGGCTGCCGCCCTTTTACGCGCGGTGTAAAGAACGGTCGCGCGCGCACACTCCCCGAGGCGAGTTCGTTAAACCCTTATCGATTCCCTAGCGAGAGGAAACGGGGATTCCGCGAATTAAAAGTAAATCAGTTTTGCCTTGGCGGCGAAGTATTTTTCTCGCAGCGACGATCGAAGGGATTGCAAAAGAGTGAGTCCGTCCGAAGAAATGAAACATATCTCAAACGATGCGCGATGACGTGGCACGAGAATAATTCCATTTTCATCCGCACATCTCGCGGAAAATGTATTTAATTAACGTTACAACCAAGTAACATGAATCCGAAAAAAAAAACTTATTTTTACTTCGTGTTAGAATTTTTATTTTTGAAAAAATATTTACTTTTGTTCAGAATATAATAACAGATTTGAGAAAAACAAGTTAAAGTAATATAGGATTTAAGAATCATTTTAATATGCAGATGAAATATAAAACATGAATAATTTATTTTTATATTGGGGATTATATCCTCAATGAAAATGTGAAGAATTCTAATCGCGTTATTAAAGCGACCGTGCGGCATACTCATCGCTCAATAATATGACAAATTTGAACGTTGACCCTTCTCTGAAATTGCACGTGGCTGAATCGATCGGCCGACAATATTATATAATCTATTACGGACCACTTGGCGGAAAAAGTCGTCGCTCGCTTTCACAAAAAAACAAAAAATAAATATACGAAAATTACTGAACCAAAAAGTGCGTATAAGTAGAAATTACTTGTGATCATGCGAAACCTTGAAATTAACGATTTATAACCGAGAGATATAAATTCATTATAATTTAATTTACGAAAATTGCAAAATAATTGGTATTTTCGTAGTAGTGTACAATTTTCTAGATTAGGCGCATGAAAGATAGCTATTTGTTTTAAATATGCACATTAACAAGACTGATTATTATCTTAGAACGAGTAGTACAAAAAAAAGGTGTTAGTGAGCTTCACGTTGTAGTTGAATTTTAAGTTGAAGCGACTATCGTTGATTATATCGTTGACTACAGCCGTGACCCGGTGACAAATTGTCTCCGTCATTCCGCATCGATGATGTCAAGTGGCAGACGGATGGCAAAGCAAATTAACAATAAAAGATAAATTCGCGATTTTTAAGTTCCATTGATTATCATGCAAATGTTTCGAGATCCGATGATAAAAATATACCATCGATCTGTGCGGTTACTCGTAACTCGACTATAACAATCTTCGTATCGTTGAGAAAAATTGTCGCAACACTAATATATTGCTTCAGTCTTTTAAAATAACATTGAATTTATGCTACGATATTCAAGACAATAAAAACTGTCTAATTAATTGGCTAAAGCGTACCTAGAGCAGGCGCTTTTTTCTTCACTTTCCGGGACCAGGTCTCGAAGCAGTCCTCCAGCGCGAGGTTCCAATGCTTGTCGAAGGCGGCCACATATGCCTCCACGTGTCCCCTTATGCCGCGCGCGTTTCTAGTGTAGACCTTCAACACAAAGAATAGTCGATTATTCCTTTTAGATCGCGACTCGTCTCTTTCAGATGAAATCGCGCTTGCCGAGAGGAGAGATAGCGATTGGTATTCTCTTCTCGTTCGAAACGAATCGTTCATGATAAACGAATAGTGTGCTATAATAAATACGTGTAATAAATGAATATAAAGAAAATTATAATAAATAGATTTAGCGCAGATAAAAACAAAACGTGTTAACAGAGAGTAATAACAAGAGCATTTGGTCGACTTTACTCGCGCGATAAATTCTTTATTTGGTTTGTTATCCCATGTGTATCGTTTAGATTAGAATGTGCAAACAGTATGGATAACTTTATGTTGGTTCATGCAATTCTTCGCCGTCGCAACTTGTCGCGAAAACCCGTGTTCGACGAAACATTATCATGGAATGCAAATTAGCCGGTTTTTTCCATGTCGCACGTGCCATACATTCATTCATATCTGACCGGCTAATTAATTACATATATAATTCAGATGCATGTTGCGAATGTAATTATGTTTTATCTAACAGTCAGAAATTTTGATTATCGATTTCTTCTCTTGCTGATATAAATTAGCGTTTGCTTGGAGGATCCGAATTCTTTTACCACATTCGCTTATTGGGGGGGGGGGGGGAGTACACAGAGCATTATCCAGCTTAGAACTCGGAACGATAATTGCATTAATGATACATTACGCCTGAGTAGAGGGTTCGCGCTTGTGAGAAACCGCGTTGTTTGTCGCATAGATACGGTCGTAACAGACAAGATAGCGGCTTGATACGCGGAAGTGCAGGCTGATGAGGCAAGGTTCCCTTCAATGCCTTTCGCACAATACAGACGTATGCATTGCCAGCTTTGTCGCAATGAAAACTAATTGCGAGCCGCGGACTAGTGCGCGCGTATGCATCATCGCGAGAAATTGTGCGCCACCGACATCTCCGTATTAAATTGATTCTAGAAATCTTCAAGATTAACGAGAAGTTCAATCCTTGCTGTGTCACGCAAAGAAAATGTTTCACGTTTTTCCTCATGTTATTGTTTTTTTGCAAATGACAGACGAGCTAATGGAACTATTTTGCTTATTCAAATGTGTCAGAGTTGAAGTAGTTTAGTTTCATCGATAATTTCTACTTTGTTTTTATTAAATTGTGATATGTTGATTAGATTCTGTCATCGCTTCGGCTTTGCGACAGCTTTGTCAACTTAGATAACTTGATGTTAGGATTTTCTTGGCTCTGGATTCAAGGATTTTGTCGCGGCAATGAGATATCGAGGACAATTCAGTGGAAGGCAACACGTGGTTTTAATTAAATTGGAAAATTTCGAAAATACTCGAGGCTACGGTACGACTTGATTGAATTCTACTTGCTTTCGTCAGTTGTTTTAACGGGCTTAGTGGCTCCACATTATTCACGTATAATTTATTGCGTTTTCCGAAACAGAAATAGTCTTATATTACATTATATACGTAGAAGCAAAACTAATGAAATGCAAATTCACTTTTTACTGGCATTGATAATGAGCGATATGATAATAACCTTCCTCGATGATTAGATGGCATGTTTATGCAAATACATAGTATTTATAACTAATAAGTAAGAAAGTGCAATTATATTTAGCCATCTATAATATGACAGTGTGATTTAATTATTTACGCTCGTAGCAAATAAGAAAAATCGATGTCGCAGATTTGCAAAAAATCTAGTAAAAATGAGATTTTTATTCCTTACGTGAAATAACGGCTCTTCCATTGTTTTATTGGTATAATCAAACGTCCGTCGTGTATCTTTTTTCCACGCTCTTTTACTCGACGAGACGAGTAACTCAATGATAAAAAAGGAAACCGCACGTTTCCACGGCAATTTGAGCGGTCGAAGATCGAGTGATTAATCTGCCGAGATAAAATTTTCTTTCCGGATGCGTTCGAAGGTCGCGAAAGATTAGGATCTATCGTCGAGGACAGCGATTTGAAAGACATGCGAGCCTCAAAGAAACGCTAACGTCGGCGATGAAAGTTAACAAACGTAATTAATGTAAGTTCGGTTTCAATTACGGAAGGAGGCTAAACGGAAACTCCATTCTGCTCATTGAGATATCCGACGCGGACCAGTGCTTCTGCAGGAAGCTCAATTAAATCAATTTGATTTTTACTTTCCATTACACCGCTTTATTGTCCTATTATTAGCTGGCCTTAGCGCGCGGCGGCAACCATTATGCGCGCAATACCGCGAGAAATCATCGAGCGCGATTAGATAAGTATGATGATGATTTATCAGCGTGCGCTCTGTACGATCGCGATTTTACAACTTTCCAATGTGCATTCGCTTCCGGATTGATTATACAGTCTGCAAAACACCGATTCACAACACGGAACAGACAGGGATAAACGCATCATCTGAAAATTATTATTTTTGTTTGTAAAAAAATGCCGATTTTAAATCAACTTTCAAGAGCTATCGCGTCGTGTGCCTTCGTAAAATCATGAAATGTTAACTATAGAATCGTATTCTGAGTTATCACACGTACGAGATGTTTATTTTCATATTTAAAAGCGAGTTTAGGACAGGGGTAAGTTTTGGGATGGCGCAATCTTGTGACAGACCGTTTGTCACACGACGACGGCGTAAGCAAAAGTGGCAAGAATACCCACTTTCGTCGCCATGGTTACGAGTGTTGACCCGACCGCTTTTCTTCCCGTGCTTCTCGGAAAAGGGGAGGTCCTTGTCGTCTCCGAACACCCCCGAAGAAGGGTGCGTGACGGCAAAAGTGTGTCAGTCGCGTATGCGTGCACGTGTAATCAGAAGTCAAACGGGTCTCTGTTCCTCTTACTTTTCTATTAAATATAAAAAACAAGTGGCGTAGAAAAACAAAGTTATTTATAAGCTTTCACATCCTGTGTAAACATTTAGAGTCGTATTGAATGGGAGTTAAATATTTTTCGTCGGGAAATTGAATCAACATTGAAATGTGCTCAGCACAAATGAGACTATACTTAAAATAAGACAAATTAGGTATTTCGTGATTAAATATTCTTGGTTGGGTTACTGAGGTCGTATTTTATAAATAACTCTTTCCTGCATTTGATTTATTATTTCTGCAAGATGGAGAGGTCAGCTGAACGGAGATATCAGAGAGGAGAAATTATGAGAGCGAGGATAAAATAGCGTTTTTAAGCTTATTCTTATCTCTTCGATAAGGAGGCAAAGAATTAGCGCGGGGACATTTCTGCAGAGAAATTACGAAGAAAAATGTCTTTGTTGAGAATGATAATTGGAAACGTATGTTTTTGCAAGAAATGCAAAGTAAAAAACCGATAAAACAAAAAGATTCAACTTAATTTTAAATATATCTATATAATTTTCAAGAATTTCTAGAACGAAATAAGAATGATCTCTTTCTTGGTTATAAAATTAAAAATTATTATAGATAATACAGAAATTTGCATCTCCTGCTGAAAGAATCTGAAATGTTTGTGAAGAGTTTGATATCAATTGGCGCTCAGGTAAAATCAGTCGACGTGACCTACCTTAATCCGAATTCTATTCTCCATGCACCCGTGGAGCATCCCCAACGGGCCGAGAATTTTTTGCATTTTCGTGAGGACATTCTTCCGCTCGCGTCTTTTTCTCGACACCGGTTCTGTAAACAGTTAAACGTAGATATTTTAAATCATTGAAACAATGAAATTGGCCATGGAATATCGAATTTCAAAATCATATCGTGGTACCGAATTTAATTTTTCATAATTTCCGTCAAATTCTTTAGTGCGACATCCTAAAATTGTACGAATAATAAAAACTGCGTATGAAATGACGTTATCGTTGTGCTTAAATAATATGTGCGCATTATTATGACAAAAATTTTCTCAAGTAATAATAAATTAATAGAAAATGTGCGAAAAATCACAATATGTTATAAAAATATCACATAACTTGGAGATTTGTAGGCGTTCTAAAGTATCGAGGAAGAACTAAAAATATTCATAGCGCGTAAAACGAATTATACTACCTTTGTAGATATACAACTTATGAATAATAAATAATAAACATAATCATAATAATGAAAACTATAACAAATAACCATGCTAAGAGTTATTATATTGGACAGAGTATCAAGGTATTGGAAGTATCCGTAGTTTCGAGTCGGTCAGATTGTGCCAGCGGGTTTTTACGAGCCGCCGTAACACCGCGCTAATAAGAATTTATGCGGCTCTCTCGTGTCTCGTGGACTCGCTCGACAAATCATCGTTCATCCTTACGCGCGAGTCGCGTGAGGAGTATAGAGCCGATAACATCGCGCGTTGCTCGTTCCTCCAGTTCTTGCTCCTTTTTTTCCCGCCGTGACGACGAGACTTTACGCGGCCACAAGAGCTTCATTAAACCCTGTTGCCGTGGCCATAGCTGTTCGCAATGATTCTAAATTTTTCTTTCTCCTCGAGACGTAAATCGACATCAACCGAGTCTTTGTAAATGTAACGTGGAAGATGAAAAACTTTGTTTTATTTGACGTTTCACGCGGACTTTAGTTCGTTGTCGGTAACAATAAATAATTGTCGATCGAATAAAGTTGATAAGTGATTCGTTTTAACTTTTTACGTATTTTCATCTGATTAATTCTTCTACTCCTAATTGAAATTTATAGATTTATTGCAACTTTCTTAATATGCTAATATCTTTTTTCAAAATTTCATCATTGGTCAGTGAAAAATCGATTCCAAATTTGTCGAAGGAGTTCCTCTCATTTTTTTCGACAAATATGGTACAAGTGTTTGCCAAGATTTTTGTCTAGCTTCACGATTTATGGGTCGCAGAAAGATAAATTCGGCCCTGGCGTCGTCACGCGGAAAGAGGAACGCCGCAGAGTTACGTAAAGCCTCGGCAGTGCACGGCGCAGCGAATGCACTTATTTTCTCCGTGTACGCGTGGCTCTCGAGACTGACACACGAGCATGCTCACTCGCTCGTTCGCTCGCTCGTTCACTCGCGAGATCGACGGTACCAATTGGCTTTCTCCGATAACTTTCATCCATCTAAAGGCCAGTCACGGCCGCTCGCTCCGCTTCTTTTCTACCTTTCTTTGTTTCTTTCCGCGTACACTTTCACTATCGCGCGATCCAATTGCGTCGATCTGACGTCGATCGAGGACGAGAAGGTGACGGTGACGGTTGCATCCCAATTTCGTATTCGCGAGTAATTAATTATATCATAATTATATCAGCGCGCGCGCTCAATGATCTTCTTTGCGATTCTAATAAATCTCTTGTTTCAATCTGTCACGATATATAGCAAATATCTCAAAATATTGTTGATAAAAGAGGCAAAAACTAAGCAATGTTTTAGAATGTATTTATTTCGGAGAGAAACGAGAAGGAATTATGAAGAAAATTGTGAAAAAGAGGCGGAGAAATACTCATGTCCACTTCACTCATGTCCACCTCCGACCTTTCGGCCGTTTTTTTTTCTTCTCTCGTGAACTCCTTTCCTTCTCGTTCCAATCTTCCGTCGTTGCCGTACGCGCAGGAGTGCACAGCCCGGAGAACGTTCATGTTTGCGTGAACCGCGTGCAGGCTGCGAAGAAGGAACCGTTAGGATCGCAACCGCGCGCGGTTGCGAGGAGGGAAACGCGAAACGGTGACTTTATCGTCCCTTCCCTGGGCAGGGTGATCCATGGAGATGCCCATCGTTCCGTACTTCGCTGCACGTTCGTTAACCCCTTAAAGCGACATGATGTTCCAGCTGTATAGGATCTTCGGTAATTTTCTAAAGCGTCTGTCGATATACTTAATTATTTGAAAACGCGCAGAAATAATTATCTTTTAAAAATAATACAAGAAACGTATATAAACACATTGATACTGATTTTCAATCGGCAGTGAATAAATTAATTGTAGGCTTTATGGTCAGAAACGTATAATTGCCGTTTTCTAAAATAATAAATCATACATTGACAATAACGATTGTATAAATTTAGAAGAAATAGTAATGCTTAATCTGCAATTTTAATTATAATTTCAAAATTATTTTCCAACGAATTCAATATTTTATAGTGAGAAAGTCAACCATAAAGTATCGAAATGTGTATCATAATATCTACATTGCAAAAATTTTGACTTTGAAAGTATCGCAATACCATTCACTTCATATTCGATTGCAAAGATGCTGGCCTTCGCATTCGTAATATCAATTTTGAAAGAAGCGGACCTTCGAATTTTCGCAGTTCTTCAAACGAAGAGAAAAGTTCGTCGCTTTCAAAATCATTATTATGATTTGCGCAAAAGTTTATTTGCGCGAAATTCGTTTTCACAACAAATGCGACAGACCTTCGCAAAGTATTGCTCGAAATATCAGCAATTAATATTTAACGATAATAGTTTGCGAAATGTATGAGCGGTATTCTTCCTGCTTGCAATTATATTTACATTGTTATACTTCGAAAAGATATATTGACATTCAAATTACATAAGCATGTTCGATGCATCTTTTAGCAATTCGGATCGTGTAGTATGCAAACGCAGTATGCAATTTGCTTTCAAGTCGAACGAAATCGAATTGGGCGGTAGTTCTAAAATCGAATTGTGCAGATCATGAAAAGCTAAAAGAATTGAAAGCCGTCAAACTGTCAGTTACTCCTAGAATTTCCGGACCAGATAAAAACAAGGTAAAGAATTTATTTGATTTGTAATATTCATGACATTTTAATATTATATTAGCCACCATTAAATATTATATTTGTTTTAAAACTGTCAATAAAGCATATCGAGAATGCCTGAAATAAAAATTTTATTTTAAATTTCCGCTTTAAGTGAACTGAAAAATAAAATGTTGCATTGTATTGAAAATTTAGATTGACATAAAAATTTTATGTTTTCATTTATAACTCCGAAATAATATTTCGATATTTATAATAGAAGAAGTGACTTCATATTGATAAAAATGTCAACTATTTCATAATTAAAATATTTTTCATTGGAAATTCTTTAATCAAAAAGTCGATATATTAAAAGTTGAAAAATACCGCTTCAGTCTATAGAGAGTCGAATTTTTCACATAAATGATTAAATTGAATAACAGACGACAGAAACGAGTTTTGCGAAATTAAACTTTGAAGGCATAAGTGACAGTATTACAACTGTGGTGTTCGCTTTACTTTAAGAGTATACGGATACTTGAATAAAATTTTAATTATATCAAGATGTATCGAAACTACGGAAACTGCAAACGAAGAATCGAATTGAGTTTCGGCACGAGGAATGCATATCACTTCACGTGCCGACTTTTCCGCTTATTTATTCGATCAAGCACGCTGTGAGAAGGTCTCTGTTCGCGCACTCGAGATTTTCCAGCCTTTCGATCATCACTCGGCCGAGTTGCGATGCGTGCAAAAAAGCCTCGCAAACATCTGTATAGCGGCGCGTCTCGCATGTTGTTCACCTGCGAAAATGTTCGCGCGGTGCGTGCGAAGGAGCAGTTGAATGCAAGTCCGAATCTAAGGAAAAAAGGAGCTCGACAGCGCCCGTAAGATGTGCATGCGCGCGGGGCCGGGAGGGGGAAGGGCGGGTCCTTCTCTTGCGTACCTGATTGCGAGCGGTGAACAAAATATCGCGAGAAAGACAAGCGGGAATTTGCGAGGATCGGGTAGGAGAAGAGCGGATCCCCGGCTTGTACCCGTAGATGATCCCCAGGTTGAGTCGCGCTGGGTTCAATGTCCTGTCGGGCAGCGCACCCGAGAGCCGAGGCAGGCAGGCAGGCAGGCAGGCGAGCAGCCACCAGACCTCTCTACCACACGTACACACGTACACGTACACAATACACGGGCGCACACGTTTCCGCGAGATCGCGCACGGCCGCGCGCTCCGGCGTTGCGTATACCGCGCGCGGATATATCGGGTGTTCCGTAGTCATCGACGTGGCAATGATATTTTATTATGAATCACAAGTTGTGCGAGGAAAGGAAATCCGTCGGTGTGTTAAATTTCGCAGATGCGCAATTTGTAGACGAGAGCGGCCGATCCTCTTTGGTTATTTTCGGAACAATCTTTTCTTCGTGGAAATGCGTGTTTTTCAGACTTTATTGTGAAAGTTTTCATGTACGAAATCATAAAGTTGTAAAGAAATGGGCGGGTTCGATTAAATTGCTAAGAGAGAACCGATCTGGAGTTTTACAGGATATTTCTAGCCGGGAAAAAGTTCTCCCGACTTTCGAAGCACACTGTATGTCAGAACACGGCAAAGTGCGCTGGCCGGCACGCCGCAGTTTGCTTTACATGAACTAGCCGTAGGTACTGTTACTTCTGCGACAAGGCCCTTCGGTTCCTTTTCTCTTCTCTACTTCCCATCCACACAATGTTCCTTTCGCGGAGCGTCGAGGAAGTCACTGACGGTCACGCGATTATTCGGAACATGTTTTCGGAGACGATTACGACAGTTTGGCCAAATTGTTCTTTTTTTCGCAGGACGGCCGACTGGGACGAGAAAAATGGACAAAATAACATCTCTCAGAATTCGATTTTTATTTAATACTTTAATATCTTAATCATACCTTGAAGTAAAAGTACCTTGAAGCAAAGTAAAAATCTTCTGACATGTATAATAATAAAAAATAAAAGGTGTAACAAAATGTATTGCACATGATACATACAGA